GTTCGAAAGCACGGCAAAGTGCAGGTAGATAAATAGGTATTGCTCTGGCGGGAAGGTAAACGGCGTTTCCGTGTGCTGCTCTGGTTCACCAGAAGCGGCTTAGTCATGCTGGCCACATGACCTGGAAGCTGTACGCCGGCTCCCTCGGCCAATAAAGTGAGATGAGTGCCGCAACCCCAGAGTCGGCCACGACTGGACCTAATGGTCATGGATCCCTTTACCTTTACCTACCTGTTTTTCTAAGAAGCACAAACATTGCAATAACCTGTGTGTAGCTGTTGTGAAACCCATAGAATTGTAAAGTAGAGATGGACACCCGAGTCCTAGACAGGCTAAGTGGAAGTAAACCCCATGGAAGCCAGAGGCACCTTTCTGGTGTGGGCACACAAATGAAATCCTTTCTGGTGTGGGCACACAAATGGAATCCCTGTACACAGGTAATTTGTAGCCCCAGAACATGTGCAGCGCACCCGGAACATGTGCAGTGCACCTTGTGGATCTGTGTAGTGAGCAGGATTATTTCTATGATAAGGACCAGGAGTTTAGGGTCAAGACTGTAGCTCAGAAGACAACCAACAAAAATGGATTTCATAAGTCCTTATGGTTGTTAAGAGACTTCAAGCCTGGAAGAATAAATACACACACACTATCTATTACACAGGGGTTTGAAGACCTTAACACCCTGGCTGCATTTGAACATGCTTTAAAAAATTAAATTAAAATTAAACACCAACTTTCTTTGGATACCTGTTTGGACATTTGGATGGCATATAATGGGATGCAGCTAGATTGGCAAAGAAAAAGTGATTTATATGCGTTGTATATGTGATATAACATTGTACCACCAGATGGCAATGTGGAATCCCATTTTTCTCTACCTGTTTTCCCTGTTTAAATTTATGCTTTAAACTGAAATGCTTCTCTGATGGGTCTAGATCCAGCCTTGATTTGTATGTGTAAGCTTTAGAAGAATGTACTGGTGCTTATTGTATTGGTAATGGGAGTCCCCCCACTTGTGTTTTTTTTTTCCCTCTCTCTCCGTTCATTTTGTTTTCTTCTTTAATAACTTTGATTGAAAAAAACTGTATCTCAGAGCACATGCTTTGTTCATGAAGAAGGTTGCCTTTCGTTTTGATCAGGATAATGAATTGAAGATGGAGCTGTCTTTGAAGATGATCCAGAAATTGCAGTTAGCACAGGATATGGCTCCTTGACTAGAAACTGATTCTAGTTGTTCGGGTCATATTATATATGCCTGTACTTTCTCATTCTCACTGGCTCCCAATCTGTTTCTAGTCCAATTGTGACAGAATCAGGAGTGCCAACTTGGCCCTGTGACAGTGGGTGCCCGGGGCCATGGGTGCCATGCAGTGTGCATGGCCCTGGCACCAAACTTTGTGGGTGCCCAGCCTCTTCATGGGGAATTTTGTGGGTGCTCAGGTACCCAGTGCCCCAGGGGGTTGGCATCTATGCTCTGAATAGCCACTTATTTCCATACATACCAACCCAGTGCCCTGAGATCATCACTGGAGGCTCCACTCTGTGTACCTCACAAGCTGAGATATGGAAGGTGACTATCACTGAGGTGGGCAAAAGGTACATCTGGATTTACTCTGGCTGATTTGCAACAGATGGGCAAGGATTCCGGTTTAAGAAATAGCAGCAACAATATGACACACACACGCCCCAAATGTATGCTCTGAATTGAAGAGAGGTTGGGGTAACCAGGAGTTGGGTTTTGTCTGGAAGTTCTGCTCAGATCTAGGACTCAGAACAAATTCCTGGGCTCAGAATTCTCAAATTCTAAATTTACGTCTTGTGCTGCCTGAAATCCAGGAGAGCCGTTGCCACTTGCCAGGCTGTGCTTCCAGCACAGAGCTACGTGAACCCAATAGTCTGGCTTGGTCTGAAGCAGCTTCTCACAATATGAGCATGAATGGGCAAAAAATGCTAGAAAATTGCCATGGAATTGTCACTGCAGCACAAACTTTAAGAACCTTTTAAAAAATAAAAATGCAGAAACTGCATTTTCTTCCTCCTGCCCCTTCCCATCTGCTTTCTCTGAATCAGTTTCCAGCTTGTAAATCTTATTCCCAGTAGGCTCTGTACTAATTAGGTAACTAATAAAATTTAGCAAACGCCAGGCATATTATGAGAGTGATTGCGTGATTGCTGAAATATGCCTCATTAACACCCGGCAGGCACATCCCTTTGCTACAAAAATAAGCAATCACAGCAAAGGCCTTGCAAGTGGCGGTGAGGATAATTGTCCTCCCTGCAAACGAACTTCAGAGGCCTGTTCAGCAAATGGATTCTTTGGCGATGTTGCATTTGGAGAGGTGTTTCAAAACGTGGCATTCTGGTCATGCACAGTCCCTACATGTGAGCAGGTGCTCATACTTTGGGCTTTCGGTTCAGACAACCATGGGCAATACATCGTTTAAGGAAGGAGGTGCGACATTAGAGGTGAAGCTAGGAACATGGCCTCACCCCCATGTAAACATGGCAGTGCCTTACATGCGAGTAATGTGTGAATGGGGCTTGTGTTGCCATGCAACCGCTGGTCCATTACAGAGAGTTTAAGCAAACTTAATCTGTCCCCAGCTAGCCCCTACCAACCTGCTTCCTTACTTGTAACCAGCCGAAGGGGGGCATTCCTGAGTGTCAGAATTGCCTCGGTAAAACTCTGCAGAGAGGAGGATGAGGCAAGACTAGAATTAGCCGGCTCTGCCTGTTGTTGGCTCTGTTTCTATCTACTGCGAACTCTCTGCCTTCTGCCGTACCAGTTCTAATAGGCAACAGCCACCACTGCCATGCAGACTTTCTAGGGGTCCTGTTAAGATCTTACTTAAGAAGAGCCTGCTAGATGAGGCCAGTGGCTCATTTGATCCTGCATCCTGTTCTCACAGTGGCCAAGCAGATACCTCTGGAAAACCTGCAAGCAGGTGTGCTCTCCCCTCCTGTGGTTTTTAGCAAACTGGCATTCAGAAGCATTGCTGCCTCCAACCTTGGAGTCAGAGCATAGCCACCATGGATAATAGCCATTGATAGCCTTCTCCATGAATTTGTGTAATCCTCTTTTAAAACTGAGGGCCATCACTGCCTGCTGGGGGTGCAAGTTCCGCAAGTTTAACTGGATAGCTTTGCTTTCCAGCTCAAGTATACTTCCAGGACTACTTAGCTCTGCCTTATGGACAGGTTCCCACATAGCCGTGGCAGGGAGGTGGGGGGCAACAACCCACAAATGAACAGATAAATCACAGTTTGTATATTTTCCACCTACCTCTTTTGTTTATTTATGCATTTCCTTACATCATTTTAACTGCCTTTCAGCTTAAAATACACAGCTCAACATGCCAGGGTATTGAAAAACAGCCGAATCAGCGCTCCTGATCTTTTTGACACATATATGTTTTGGAATTATTATTATTGTTTAAATCTTTCTCTGTATGCCAGAATTTGTACTATGTGTTGTGGTGAAGAATCAGAAACCTCGAATGGTGAAAAAATCATTTTGTGTCAAATTCTTGTCCTTGAGTTTGGTAGTGAAACTTTCAGACTTCTGTCATTGCGGCTCTAAATAAAATTAAATGAACCATATGCAGGGGAGACCGCAAAAGCAGAATTTTTTCTTTTGGGGCGGAATGCTCAACAATTTGTTTAGCAGCTCCACTTAAACTAATAGCCATAATTGGGAAGTTGCCTCCTCCCCCAATCCAGTTCTCTGATTACTAATAAGAAAGTGACAGATCTGTAATTTTCCTGTGTGTTCTTTTACTTCTGAATTCTATTGGTTGAAATGTCAGCTGCCCTGCTGGGTCAGAATAAAGATCCATTTAGTTGTCAGGATTCAGTCCCGCCAAAACTTAGAATCTGGAATCTCCTCAAGAGGAGGAGCTAAGGGAAAAGGACCTCTCAGCAGATCTCTACACCATCAGCAACACTGAGGAGTTGGTCAAATCCAGGCATTCCTGGCCCAGGCCCAGATTAAGACCTTTAGACGCCTTTAAGCACTAGAAAGATTATGGTGCCTCCCATATGCAATTCAAAATAAAAACAATATTAAACCATACAATAAAATTTTAACAAACAAAACATAAATTTACTGAAACACATGGCAAGATCAGATTTCCTCATATTATTTCAGTCTATGTCAGTAGGATGCCCCTGTGGTTTAGGTGGGGATACTTAATAAAAAGGAGAACAGGAAAAATTGGAGAGGAGTGTGGAACAGTGTGTAAAGAAGGCTAATGAAGTTCTGGTTTTCCTCATGGTGACTACTTTGATGTTGTTGAGTTTTTATAAAAAATATCAAACTCTTTCATTCATATATATATATAGAGAGAGAGAGAGAGAGAGAGAGAGTTCCTGCTTTGCCAGGGCTCTAACCATGAGCTTAGTATGCCTATTGGGGGATCTAATGCATTCATTCATTCATTCATTCATTCATTCATATTCTCTCTCTCTCTCTCTCCACACACACATCAGCTTTTGCTAACCTGGTGCCCTCTAGACATTTTAAGACTACAACTCCCATCAGCCCCAGCCAGCTGGTTGTCAGTTCCTTGTTTTAGAAAGCCACACTGACATGATGTTTGTGAACTTTCTTGCAGTAAAATAATAATAATAATAATAATAATAATAATAATAATAATACAGATTTCAGCTTAATGAGCTGATATTGTGACTCAGATTTCATGCAGCTGCTCCTACCTTTTTTGCCAGGGAACTTGACAGAAGGCTTGGGAGATAGTAGACTTGCGGAAGTGGGTAGAGAGCAGTAGTGGAACTCTCCCCAGGCCAAATCCATCAATGGCCCTTGCTTCATACTTCAAGTGTTTTTGTCCAACTGGAATGTTTCTTTGAACTCTGATCATGCCTCTTAGAGACATAGGAAGCTGCCTTATACCAAGTCAGGTCCATCTAGCTCAATATTCTCTACACTGACTGGCAGCAGCAGCTCTCCAGGATTTCAGGCAGAGGTCTTTCCAAGCCCTACATGGAGATGCCATTGGGGATTGAACAAGGGACCTTCTGCTTGCAAGACAGATGCTCTACCACTGAGCTATGCTTATGGCCTTTAAATCATGCCTCTTGCTTGCCTAGATGCAAGATAGAGAGTGGTATGTCAAGTGTGTGTAGGAACTAGCCTTCTGTAAAAAGGTGATGGGGGGGGATAACCACAAATAACCAACATGCTTAAGCCTAATTAATGTGTGAAGGGGTTAATGCAATAGAGTAAGATTCCTGCCTCTCTCCCTCAAGCCTATCGCTCCCCTTAAGTCTACCTGAGAAGCTCAGTGTGTAAAGAGGTCTGAGCTGGTTGTTCCAAGCTCAGTCCACATGGCTCTTACAAGATTCTCTTGTGTTCCTATACCAATAATTTGGGAACTTTCACCCCTGTAACTAAGCCAATTTTTACTGCCTGTGCAACTTTTTCTGAATGTTGTGTGGGAAAAGCACATGATTCTGACGTTTGGAGAGTTTGTAAGTAAAACATTTTAAACTTACCAAACATTTAGTCTTTTTCTACGCTATGTAAGAGGGAAGCTTTGGAACTCACATGGGCATATTTTAAAGGTCTAACTGCCTATATTTCCATGCCTTGCTGCATATAGTGATTTTTAATCTCTGCTGGAGCTTTCTCGCCAAAGAGTACTTGCCCCAAACCTAGATCTTGGAATCCTCCTTTTTCTATTTTGCCACTAACAAAATCTGCATTTTTTGCTCTGCCCTCTTTACTTCTGGTCCTGCCCACCATGGACATGTGGCCATTGGAAGATTGCCCATAAGGGAAAGTGTCCCTCAGGCTTGAAATGGCATTGCTCTGATGTCCGTGTTGCAGTACATTGATTGGGTGTCCTTACCTGGGCTGCTTGACAGCATTGACCTGTAAGCATAAAGCGCTCACTGTTGGCAGCTGCCTGATGGTGGAGGCCAGAAATTGTAGTATAGGCCACTTAAGTAAAACACTGATTTCAAGAAGAATCGACTTGGAAGCCAGTGTTCAAGAGCATGTGCTACAAAATGGTCTTCAACCAGAGCTCTCTCATCTAGGGACTGGGAGGGACCAGGCAATTCTTACACTCCAAGAAAGGCCTTGGCAAGGATATTTATAAGCCTTGTGGATTCAGCAGCTTTTGGAAGAGATTGGAGAGGCATGGCTCAGTCCTGGATCTAATATTTTTTGTGGCATCCCAAGTGCTTCCTTCTTCTTCATCTTCCTCATCCACAACTTTTCATGAACAATGTGCCCTAGCTGCAAAGCTTGGAATGGGATCCAGGACTCATCGGATGTTTAGAAGTCTGATTTTGGCTTGGGAGACCCATCAGCCTTTGTCAATAACTTCCTTTCTCAAAGTTTACAAAGCAGCGGGAGTTTGTTGTTGGCTCTGCCAGTTAGGCCTGGCAGCCTCAACTGTTCCCGCTGCTGCTTATCACTTCTAGACTTCATTCAGTGCTGGCAGTCTCAGGTCCTCCATCTGGACACCAGATTTGGCTGGGACCCTTTGGCGGATGATGCATGAGGCGGAACAGAGTATGAGATCTCTCCTAGCTCCCTCCTTCTCCAGCCTTGTTGGCTTCTGACAAGAGTGAAATCTGCAAAGTATTAGCATATAGGGATAGGGACCCAAGGGAGCCGTGTAAGGACAACAGCTGAGACATCAGTTAAAAGTCACAGCCAACTTTATCTTTCAGAGGATCCCAATGAGGAACCTTGAATGTGGGACCTAAGCAGATTTTGCAGGTTTTGTTTTCCTTGTGATTTCTTCCACTGCCACACAGTTTGGACTCCAAGTTCTGGGGGGCCCTTGGGCAAGGAGCTTCCAGTTGGTCCTTCCAATTTGTGAACAGACCAATATCCTCCTTGCCCATTCGCTTGCCCCTTTCCTCTAGGCCCAATCCACACAACCACATGGAGGGAGAGTGCAAGAGAAGGGGATGAGGAGGCTTTCTTTCTTCAGGCCTCAGGTTCAGTCCCCAATGGCATGCCCAGTTAGGCTGGGAAATATCCCCTGCTTGAAACCCTGGAGAGCTGCTGCCAGTCAGTGTAGGCAATACTGGTCTGCCTCTTTACTTCAGCTCCCTATGTTCCTAGGTAGGTAGAAGAGAAGCAGCAGCAAAGGATCTAGAAATATGGACAAATTTGAAGTTATCATTGTTAGGCCGAATTGCTGTGATAAAAATGAATGTGCTGCCAAGGATGTTGTTTTTGTTTCAAACATTGCAAATTTTGGATAAGATGGACTGTTTCAAGAAGTGGCAGAAAGATATTTCTAGATTTGTTTGGCAGGGCAAGAAGCCTCGAATAAAATATAAGATACTAACCGATGCCAAAGAAAGAGGAGGATTTGTGCTGCCAGACCTTAAACTCTATTATGAATCAGCTGCTTTTTGCTGGCTGAGAGAATGGCTGCTTCTTGAAAACAAAGAGGAAACCCGGGCAGCGCAGCGCGATCCATCCCTCGCTGCCCGGGCTTCTCCTAGCCTTTCACCTCCTCAGTCGCGGGAGGCTGAGCAAGGCTAAAGAAGCCAACTTTAAAAAATCTACTCTACCTCTTTTCTATTCGTCCTTTCACTCTTTTCTCTGGATCAGTGTTTTATCTGATTACGTTTTGTTTGGAATATATAAAAAAGGAACTTGCAGCTTTATTTTAGCATACATAACAGATTACAAAAACAAAGAAAACTGAGGAAGACATAAATGGAAACATTTACAGAGGTAGATCTGAACCTTACCTCCTGAAGTCTCTGCAGAGTCTGCAAGGTGGGTGGAGGAGTGGCAGGTAGGGGGTATCTACCTAGACACTGAAGCCACATGTCTCTCCAATGAAAATTGGGAGAGGGCATTGTGTGAAGTGGCTGTGGATCTCCTGCCGCAGATGTGTAGGACTGTATAGAGTTGGGAGGGCCACCTGAGGGTCATCTAGCCCAGTCCCCTGACAATGGAGGAATTACAGCTAAAGAATGCCAGGCAGATGGTCCCCCAACTGCTGCTTAAAAGCCTCTTGTGGTGGAGACCCCCAACACCTTCCAAGGTCATAGAATTGCAGGGTTGGAAGGGAACCCCAGGAGTCATCTAGTCCAGCCCCGGTGGACAGCGGGCACGATCCATCCCGTTGCGCAAGGCTAAAGATGCTGCTTAAGGCTAAAGAGGAAGCCAAGGCAGTGAGCGGGATGGATTGCGCTCGCTGCCTTGTCTTCTTCTTTAGCTGCGCTGGAGAGGTTTAGCTCCTGGCTGGAGAGGTTGAGCGGCTATGGATCCCGCTTGCTGTCTTGGCTTCTTTGCTCTTTGGGGCTGCGGGGGAAGCCCCGAGAAGTTCTGGGAGAAGCGGACAGGCTGCACGCAGCCTGTCCCTTGCTCTTTGGTACTGACGTGTTGGATTTAGAAGGTTTTAATAATGTATTCGGTTGGCATGCATACTTGTGGTACAATAAGGTAAAAGTACATAAAGCGTTTAAAAATCATATTGTTAGAAAAGCATTGTTTAATGTCTGGATAGGATTTGTTAGAAAAGAAAACCCCAAGATGGTTGTCACCAATGGAAGCGAAGGCACAGAAAAAACTCAATATGGAGGCCAAATTCTGGAACAAGATGGAGACAGATTAAAATTGCAGAGCTTTGAAAAATTGAAAAACAGAGTGCGAGATTGGCTCCATTATTATCAAATAATGGAGGCATATAATCTGGACAAAAAAGTTGGTTTCCAGGTGGAAAAATCAAAATTGGAAACAGAATTGTTAGATCCAAAAATTAAGAATTTGTCAAGAATGTATAACTTGCTGTTGAAATGGAACACTCAGGATGAAATGGTGAAATCAGCTATGATTAAATGGGCACAAGATGTTGGACACAACATAATGATGGCTGACTGGGAACAGTTATGGACCACAGGTATAAAATTCACGGCATGTAATGTCCTAAGAGAAAATTTAATGAAAATGATTTATAGGTGGTACATGACACCAGTCAAGCTTGCAAAAATTTATCATTTGCCCGATAATAAATGTTGGAAATGTAATGAAACTGAAGGTACATTCTTTCACCTTTGGTGGACGTGCCCAAAGATTAAGGCATTCTGGGAGATGATCTATAATGAACTGAAAAAGGTATTTAAATATACTTTTCTGAAGAAACCAGAGGCCTTTCTCCTGGGCATAGTTGGCCAATCGGTGTTAAAGAAGGATAGAACTTTTTTTATGTATGCAACAACAGCAGCAAGAATACTCATCGCGAAGTATTGGAAGACACAAGATTTACCCACTCGGGAAGAATGGCAGATGAAGTTGATGGACTATATGGAATTGGCGGAAATGACTGGCAGAATCCGAGACCAGGGAGAAGAGTTGGTGGAAGAAGGCTGGAAAAAGTTTAAAGACTATTTACAGAAAGATTGTAAAATTAATGTTAGAAAAATGTTGGAATGAAGTTACATGGCTTTAGTAGAAATGTTATAAGGAATTAAGTATAAATAGATTAATAGAGTATTAAAGGGAAAAATAAGGCTAGAATCTGTTAAGATAATTAAAGGATAGAAAGCAGAGGAAGATGGAAAGGAATTGCTGAAACAATCAACAGAAGTGGAATACAAAAAGGGAGGTGTGAGGAGGTCACTGAAATAAGTGAATGAAAGATAAGATATTGAAATTGTTTGATTTTTTTTTAAACTGTTTTTGTTTCGTTTTGTTAGTTTAATGTGTTGTGTAGTGTTTTTGTATTGTATTGTTCTTTTTTCTTTTTCTTTTGTTGTGTGTTCAAATTGTTGGAAAAGTAATAAATATTTTTTTTTTTTAAAAAAAGAAGAGAAGCAGCAGCAGAGTCTGGGGGTCAGTCATGGCCCCTCTGCAGTGTTGTGGGCATTGGCAGGGGCCCAGCAACTGCTGATGCTGGCTCTGTCTTGGGATCTGCTGCATGAAAGTTGTCCTGCACCCTCTAGCCTGCTGAGGGCTAGTCTGCTGCCATTTGAGGATGTTGAAGTAAGGTTCAACAACCTCAAGGTGGCATCCTGCCCTTTGTTTGACTCATGCAGCAAAATGCTTTGGGCCAGCCCAGGGTTAAACTGAGTCAG